CATGGTCCCAGCACCCACATCTCTGGACAATGCAATCACCCATGCCAGCTCTGTTGAGTTTGGGGTCCCCTATTTCCAAGGCACACAAAGAAAACCAGAGCCAGAATAAAGACAACAACTTTTATTATCACTCACGTATTTTATAAAAGAGAGACAAATATAGTAAGGCCATGGTTGTATGGAAAAAAAATTCCAAATTTGTTTAGGTCATTCTTTCTCTATCTGAGAGCAGGGCTGTCCTGACATGAGGCACAGCAGCTGCACTTGTCCGATGCCCCTTTGCAGATGCGGCCCTGGGCACAGTTGGCACAGCCCACAGGGCAGCAGGAGCAGCAGCCTGGGGAAGAAGGGGAGAGTCAGAGGTCAGAGCAGACTTGACTGGAGACCTCTCTGCCCCAACAGAGGCCTGCCTCAAGCCCTACCTCCAGCTCCAGAGGACCCTTAGTTCAGGGCAGCATTGCTCTGCCAGGAGTCAACTGGATCTTTGGAGTGAGAGTCTTCCAGTGAAAAAGCTGCCCAGCACAACCTATGCCCAGGAGAGGACAGAAGACTGGAGAGGCAGTGGCTGGGGCTACAGGCACAAAGGAAAACCAGTTCCCCAGAACCATTCACTTAAGTGAGAAAAGTCCTGAAGTATCAGGTCTGTGCTTGGCAGGCTGGTGCATTCGTGTGGCCTCAGTTTCCCTATTTTAAGAATGAAAGTTGGGAATCAACCATCTTGTGTTTTTCCAGCTGTGATCCCTGAATCAGTTGCCAGGAAAGCAGATGTGGAAGGTGGTCACTGTGCTGCTCCTGCCTGCCAAGCTCTGGGTTCTCTCCTCTGACTCTGCGCAGCCCCCAGATTCTCAGGGAAAGCCCTGAACTCACTCTTCCTGTAGGAGGTGCAGGTGTACTCTGCATTTGCAGGAGCTGGTGCAGGTGCACTCTGCATTTGCAGGAGCTGGTGCAGGTGCAGGAGCCACCTGCAGGGAAGAGAAAAAGGCAGTGGGCAGTGAGTGTGGTACAGGGTTAGAAGCAGCCCCTCAGCATCCTCCTGCTCACTGCACGGGAAACCTGTTACCTTGTTCCATCCAGGCATGTGAAGCCCAGCCCCACCTTTCCTCCCCACAGGCTCAGATGGGCAGGTGCCCTCTTTTTCATACCACACAGAGACTTAAGAGGGGAATCTTGAAGAAGCAATGTCTCCCACCTCCCTACCAGCCCAGGCAGCTCAAATGCTGGACAGAGCACTGGGTCCCAGCTCAGCACACCTATGGCCTATGGGTGACCTGGAGTAGGGGCAGTTTTGAGACTCATTCCTCTCTCCTTGGAAATGGGAGGCACTGGGGCAATGGTAAGGTTTTCAGTGATAATAATAAAGGTCCTTGGTAAGAAAAAAAGCATCAGAAGTACAAAGTAAAAAAAAAAAATCAACTTTAGGTAGAGCTCAAAATGCACCTGCCTCCTGCATTTTTAAATCCCCCATTAAAAATCGGGGGTCCTAAAGGCCCGGAAACCTGGCAAACTTTACCAGTGTCGCAGGAGCAATTGGGGTCCATCTGGAGAGCAGGTGAGGCTGGAGTACCTATGCCAGAGGTGAAGAAGCGGGCAAGCCAGTGGGAGGTGGAACAGAGAGCCCAGGAGCCCCCTCTGGCTTTGTAGTTAGGGAGAGGTGCCGGGTGCAGAGGTCTCGCCCCAGGTCTAGCTCTGGCTCCCGCAGTGTCAGAGGTGCCCTGGGTTCAGGGCATGGCTGTGTGCAGCTGGTAGGCCAAGTGGAGGATCCTCCCTGGCACGGCCGGTGCGCATCCCCGGGGCAGCCCTTTGACCTCCACTCACTTTGAAGGGGCTGCGTGCCTGGTGGTAGGCGGTGTCCCTGCTATAATCCTGGCCCACCCGAATTTCTCAGAGATTGCGGTCCACTCCTGCCCCTGCGTGGTCCGGTAACCCAGCCTCAGGTGGTCACGGCGTCCCCAGCCCAGCACCCTGCACCAGTGACCTGAGCCTCTCCTCTGTTGGAGTCCATGTGCAACCCCAGCCTAGTGCTTGTGTCCCCAGATAGAGAAGTGCCGTGAGGGAGTTGTGTGCAAAGGACCAGCCCATGTGACCTTTGCCTCACCTGCATTGCCACCCAGGTCCTTTGGCCACGTTTATCTTATTCACAGCAACAGAGCAGACATAGTGCCCTGCTTCCCTCCATTCCATTCCCCACTCCTGGGAAGGTAATGGGGACATTTGTCCACATCCTCCTTTGCTGTAACTTCTTGGGGCTTCCCACAGCCTAGCTGGCCCACCAAGCCCAAGGATGGAGCTTCCCAAAACTTGGAATGTTCCCAAGGGAGGGATCATTTTCCTGATGTACTCACCCTTGTATTAAGAAGCATGAAAAGTAGTTATTACTTTCAGGATTCTTAACTATTACGGAGCTTTTGGACTCAGCCAGACCCTGTTTAGTCACTTTGGCTGTTTCAACCCTCACAGCAACCCTCAAGGGAAACTCTTTATGACAGCATCTTACTCATCAGACAAGGACAACACAAGGAGATAAGTAACTAGCCCAGGACAGAGAGTGAAAGTGTGCTGCAGGTGTGAAGCCACTCAGCTTTTCAAGGAAAAGAGGTCAGTGATGAAACTTCCCTTCGCCCTCACTATGTCTTCAGCACCTCTTCACGGCTTGAAATCTTGAAACAAAAACAAATGTCAACAACGTCAATCCGGAGAGCAATAGAAGTGATACAGAGGGATGTATATAACTGTGTGGCTACCTTCCATGTCTGCAAGCTGACTGATTCTTATTTTCAGTAGTGCCAGAGAGTTTGCTTTTTCTGCAAATACATTAAGGAAATAGGATTCTTTAAAGGAAAACGTTAAGGAAAATAACAGTGCAGGTGTTGGCAGAAATGGCAAGAATCCTTTCACATCTGTTATGCGGACACGGACTATCTTGCTTACGGCTTTATATATGCAGTGTAGATCCCTATTTGTGGATGGGTAGGGTTCCCTCTCTGATCCATGCGTCATGTGCTCATGTTATTGATGGGAACAACATGGAACACACAGGTAAGCCATCAGGACTGGCTTATTTGTCTGGAGGTACTAAAATGTTCCTTTGCTGCGAATAAAGATAATGAAATCATAGCTATTACAGACTACTTGAGACACACTGAACACTATATTAAGTTCTCTATATGTATTAACTGATGTGGTCCTCCCAGCCAGACCCCATTATTATGCACGGGAACAGGGTAGGAGCCTGAACCACAGAGAGGTTGTGTTACCCAGGTATAAATGACAGAGCTGAAATTTGCACTGATGCAACGTCATTGCCTCAACCACCACCCTATGTCATGTAAAACACGATGACACGGAAAACCTGGCACAAGGACAGCAGAGGGAAGAGCAATGAGCTGACATAGCTCGATGTTATAGCTATGACATAGCTGACATAGCTCAATCCCTCTCATAGCTCTTAGCCTTCCTGGGCACCAGTATGCCTCTTTCCAGTCAGGGCACAATTGGGCCAACTCACCAAGGGCACTTCCAGCTAAGAACTGTGATGGGGAGGACTTCGCATCCACTTACACATGATCTGCCAGCTCTGGAGAGGGCTTGAGGACAGCTGTACCATAAGTTCATCCAACCTGTAGCTGGATGACCTTGTGAGTTGTGTGACCTTGGGCAGGTTCTTAACTACTCTAGAGGACAGTGTTCCCCTACATAATCAGCTTCTGTACACACTTGTCTCTCTGGTTTGTGTGAAGATCAAATGACTTGAAGGGTGGGAAAGGCTTGTTTTCTGTCCAAATGCTGGAGCAGTGTCTTATGCTGGAGAGTTGGTGCAGGAAGTCATCCACATATCCTTAAGATCAGATCAGTAAGACTCCAAAAACATTCCCAACTTCCACTCCACAGTCATGCTTCCAAGGACCTGGTGGTCCTTTCCCAAGGAGCTTGATGAGATCTAATAGGATTCTTTGTCTGCAAAGTCCATGTGGACAAATGATTATAACAGCACTCTTCACTGAGTCCTAGCCAGGTGCTAGGCCACTGCCACATTTCATTCCAAAGTAGAGATAAAACCTTCTTTCTACAAATAAGCCAATGCAGCCTCAGAGAGGTTAAGCACCTTGCCCAGGTTGCACAGCCAGTAAGGGATGAAGTGGGCTGTGAACCTACTTGTGTGACACCAAACCACCTGTACTTGGCCAGGCTGCGTTCTCTTCTTGTTTTATTTTAATGTTTTGTTTTACATAGAGAGGGGTTCTCACTATGTTACCCAGGCTGGTCTCAAACTTCTGGCCTCAGGCAATCCTCCTGCCTTGGTTTGAGCAGAGCACGATGTGAGCCACCAAGGTGGTGTGAACCACTGCACCCGGCCAGGCTACCTTCTGAAATCCCTTATTCACAAAGCGCTTTAAGCCAGCATGATGCTTACTCTTGGGCCACGTGACTCCTCTTCCTTTTTGAACATCAGATAGCAATTGCCTCACCAAATAGCCAGATAACTAACAGTTGCCATGAATTACAAGACACCCAGGACCTTCCTCCTTCCTACTGAATATCACTACACCTTACAACAGATGTGCAGCATTAGTGGTTATTTTTTCTGTTATTTTGTTCTTAATGTCCCTTTGAGATTTCCTTGTTGAATATGAAAAATGAACTTTGTATTTTTATTTTTCATACTCATTCAATTTATCTCACCAAAGCTTAGGTCCACGACTGATTCCTGTGCCCTCAAATCATCTGGCATGATGCTCTTACATTTTTAGCTAGGAAACTGACCAGAGACAGGTAACCCAACTTGCTTCAGGGCACTCAGTATATAGGATGATCCCAGCTCTGCTGGGTCTGGGGTCTCTTATGTCAGGACACCCCTCAAAAAAACCAGAGGCAGAATAAGGTCAACAATGTTTACTGTCATTCCTATGTTTCACTTGAGAAAACAGACATAGTAAATGGGTTATGCTTGTATTAAAAAAAACCTCTAGGTTTGTAAGGGTTGCGTTATTTACATCTGACATCAGGCACAGTAGCTGCACCTCTCTGATACCCGTTTGCATACACAGCCCTGGGCACACTTGGCACAGCCCACAGGGCAACAGGAGCAGCAGCCTGGGGAAGAAGGGGAGAGTGAGAGGTCAGAGCAGACTCAACCAGAGACCTCCCTGCCCCAACAGAGGCCTGGCTCAAGCTTTGCCTCCAGCCCCAAGGACCCTTAGTTCAGGGTGGCATTGCTTGTCAGGAGACAACTCCTGAATATTTGGGGTGAGGGTCTTGCCATGAAAAAGCTGCCCACCCCTCCTGTGCCCAGGACATGGTAGAAGCCTGGAGAGGGAGTGACATGCCTTTCGCAGTAAAAGGAAGGACAGTCTCCCAGGATGATACACTTAAGTGAGGAAAGTCCTCAAGTGTCAGGTCTGTGCTTGGGATGCTGGTGTGCGCTCTTGGTGTCAGCTTCCCCATGGTAAGAATGAAGATTGGGAATTAACCATCTCTAGTGTTCTTCCAGTTGTGATCCTAAGTCATTTGCTGAAGCAAGGAGATGTGGGAGGCTCATCATTGGTCTGCTCCCGCCTGTGGAGATCCCTCCTTTGACTCTGCCCAGCCCCCAGATTCCTGGAGATGGTCCTGTACTCGCTCTTCTTGCAGGAGGTGCATGCGCACTCTTTGCATTTGCAGGAGCTGGCACAGGTGCAGGAGCCACCTGCAAGGAAGAAAAAGGCAGTGAGCTGTGAGTGTCGTGCTTCCCATCGGCCTCAGGCAGCACAAATGCTGGACAAAGCACTGGGTCCCAGTTCAGCACCCCTCTGGCCTTGAGGGTGACCTGTAGTCGGGCAATTTTCAGCCTGTCCTCTCGCCTCAGAAATGGGAGGCCCTGAGAAGATGGCAGTGTTCTAAGTAGTGAGGAAGGTGCTTGGCGGGGAGAAAGCTCGAGAAGTGCAAAGCAAAGGAGTCCATTTTAGGTAGAGCTCAAAATGCACCTGCCTCCTGCCCCAGGGACCTTCTATTCTGTAGTACGACAATGAAGACCCTAAGACCCGAAGCCCGGCGTCCCTTACCAGCGGCGCAGGAGCAGTTGGGGTCCATTTGGAGGTCAGATGAGGCTGGAATTCCTAAACCAGAGGCGAAAAAACAGGCTGGCCGGTGGGAGGCAGAACGGAGCCCAGGATCAGGCCTCCGACTTTAGAGTCAGGGCAGGGTGCCGGGCGCAGACGCCCTGCCCCAGGTCTGGCAGCCGCCCCGCGCAGCGTCAGCGCCGCCCCCGGGTTCAGGGCCTGGCTGTGCGCTGCAGGCGGGCCGGGCGCAGTATCCTCCCCGGGCGCAGGAGGCACCCTGAGGGCGGCCCTTTGGCTCTCTCTCGCTTTGGAGGGGCTGCGCTCCCGGCGTTACTCGGCGTCCTGACTATAATCCCGGCCCTCCCGAATTTCCCGCAGATTGCAGTCCACTCCTGTGGTCCGGGAACCCAGCCTCAGGTGGTGGCGGTATCCCCACCCTCGCACCCCGCACCAGTGACCTGAACTTCGCCTCCGTGGGAATCCGTATGCAACCCCAGCCTAGTGCTCACGTTACTAGATAGGACAGAGGCGGGAAGCGCAGCGAGGGAGCTGTGTGCAGAGGACCGGCCTACCATGTGACCTTCCGCCTACCTGCATAGTCATCCAGGTCCTTTGGCCTCCTTTCTCCTCTTCACAGCAACAGGCCAGACACAGGGCCCCGCCTCCCTCCCTTCCATTCTCCACTCCTGAGAGGGTGATGGGCACATTTGTTTAAGACCTCTTTTGCTTTTTAACTTCTTTTGGGCTTCCCACAGCCTAGCTGGCCCACCAAGACCAAGGACGTCCAAAGCTTGGGACGTCACCAAGGGAGAGATTTTGCCCTGATGTGGTGACTGTGCATTAAATTAAGAAGGATGATAAATGCTTACTTCAAGGAAAGAGGTCCTGGGCTGGGCTGGGCTGCGCGGGGCAGAGGGGCCAGGCGCACCACCCCCTGAGCTCTGCTTGGTGCACACCGCGGGACCGCATAAAAGTATGTATAAGAAAATATTAATAATTTCAACGTAAAATATTAACTAAAAGATGGTGCAGGTGGTAACAGAAAGGGCAGTCATTCCTCTATATCTGACATCAAACCTTTAGGCGTTCTCTTAGCTTTGCTATTTAACAGGATTCATTCTCCAAAAAAGCCAGTGTACAGAGAATGATCATGATTGCTACTATTTATTAAACCCTAGTCAGGGGCCAGACCATGCTGTCATTTAATCCCTGCATTGAGATACAATCTGCTTTCTACAAATAAGGAAGTGAAGGCTCAGAGAGTTTCCGTGATGCACTCAGGCCACATAGCCAGTACATGGAGAAGTGGGCTGTGAACCAGGACTGCCTGACACCAAAACCCATGCCCCAGGCGCAGGCTGCCTTCTGAAATCTCTTCACAGGGCAGCAGTGGGCAAGCCCGGTCCTCACCTCTAGGCCAGGAGGATCATCTTCCTCTTTGATTGAACATCAAATTGCATTCTCTCCACATAGCCAGTGGAACTAATTGTTGGCTTTAATTACAAGTCAGCCAGGGCCTCACTCCTTCCTAATGAGCACCACCACACTCTCCAAACTGCAGAATCCGCCATCATCCCTGCATAGGCAGACATGAAGTATTTCATGTGGAACCCATCATCACACACACTTCATTGTGTCAGGAACGTGCTGGGCATTTCCTTCCACATTCCCAGTCACTTTACTGGTTTGAAGTAGTCAAGGGCCGAAATTTGAAAGAGGAACAAATTCAGCCCGAGCTTGGGAGAAATTCCTGAATATTCAGAGCCATTTCACAACAGGGAGCTCTCAGGGGTCAGTGAGTGTCCTGTCAGTGGCTCTGGGAAGGCCAAGCCTGATGGTCCTTTGTGGGGATGTGCTGGGCAGTGCTGCTCAGGGTGTGTGAGCCACACACTGGGGCCTGTTTGCTCGCTTGCTTTCTTTCTTTCTTTCTTTCTTTCTTTCTTTCTTTCTTTCTTTCTTTCTTTTTTTGAGACAGTCTCAGTTGCCCAGGCTGGAGTGCAATGGTGCAATCTTGGCTCACTGCAACATTCATCTCGGGGGTTCAAGCAACTCTCATGCCTCAGCCTCCCAAGTAGCTGGGATTACCAGAACATGATGTCATATCCTTTTAATTTTTATATTTTTAGTGGAGATGAGGTTTCATCATGTTGGCCAGGCTGGTCTTGAATCCCTGGCCTCAAGTGATCCACCCACCATGGCCTCCCAAAGTGCTGGGATTAGAGACAGGCCTGAGCCACTGCACCTGGTCTAGTTTGCTGTTTCCTGTTTGCAGTAAACATCATCATATGTTCAAAGCTTGTACATCTTTCATTTTCTGTTATTTCTTCATGTATTCATTGAATTTTTTTCTAGTTGAATATTAAATATTGGTTTTGTATCTTTTTTTATTTCATTATCTCCATAATCGATACAATTACATTTACCAAGGTTTGAGTCACGATGGATAGGAAATAAACACTGTCCCTTCACCATAGTGTTTGAAAAGCCCCATTGTGCTAGTCTGTTTGCTTTGCTGGAAGGGAATCCCTGAGACTAGGGAATTTAAACAGAAAAAATGTTTGTTTCGAGTTCTGCTTCTGCAAGCTGTGCAGAGTGTGGTGCAGGCATCTATCTCTGGTGAGGGTCCCAGGAAGCCTACAATCCTGGCAGAAGGCCAAAGGAGAGAAGGCACATCACATGGAGAGACAGGGAGCAAGAGAGAGAAGGGGACGGTGCTTGGCTCTTTTAAACCACCAGCTGCAGAGTGACCTACCAGAGGAAGAATCCTCTTCGCCATGGGATGGCACCAAGCCATTCTTTAGGGATCACTCCTCATCATCCCAAAACCTCCCTCTAGACCCAATATTGAGGTCACATTTCAACATGAGATTTGGCAGTGACAAAACATCTGAATCATAGCACCCATGTAGGATTCAAGGAACTGAGGAGTTGGGTTCCAGCACTGTAGACACTTTAGAGCCTAAAATCCAATGTGGATCGAAGTTGGGCAGGAAAATCAGAAAATAAAAATCAGGGATGAAGTTTCTGTGCCACATTTAACATGAGACTGGAAGCGGCCATGTATGGCCCCCACCCATGTGGTGTGGCACAGTGCAATGCCACTTTACAGCAGTGTAGACTCAGTGAGGTAGCCTGGCTTCCTGAAGCTGTTCTCATTGTTAGTGGCTCACATTTCCACCCAGAGCCTGGTCTCTAAACTCCCTGTCCAACCCCCACCCCAGTCCATTTTTGCCAAGGCCACACAAAGAAGACCAGAGTAAGATTCAAGTCAAAATTGTTTTATTGTCATTCACACATTTAATAGAAAAAGAAATGCAGCAAACGATTCAGGTTTGTATTTTTAAAAATCCAGGTTTGTGCAGGTTGGTTTGCATCTGGGAGCAGAGCTGTCCCCATATCAGGCACAGCAGCTGCACTTCTCCGATGCCCCTTTGCAGATGCAGCCCTGGGCACACTTGGCACAGCCCACAGGGCAGCAGGAGCAGCAGCCTGGGGAAGAAGGGGAGAGTGAGAGGTGGCAGTAGACTTGACCAGGCACCTCCCTGCCCCAATAGCAAGCCTGGCTCCAGCTCAGACCCCAGACCCAGAGGATGCTTTTTTAGCTTAGTGCAATTCTGTTCTGAAACCATGGGTGGTACAGTTGGGGTCTGTGTCGCAACAGAAAAAATATTTGCTGTTCTGTCTCAACTCAGGGCACAAAGCATGGGGAGAAAATGACACGGCCAACAAGGACAAAGAAAGCCCAGTTCCCCAAAAGGATGCACTCAGGACCAGCCTCGGGCTCCCTCCCAACCTTAGCCACAGCCCCAGATTCCTGGAGATGGCCCCACACTCACTCTTCTTGCAGGAGGTGCATTTGCACTCTTTGCACTTGCAGGAGC